AGAAGAAGAAGAAGAAGAAGAAGAAGAAGAAGAAGAAGAAGAAGAAAAGAGAGAGTAATTCTCATACGAGACAAGAGATTGCAGAAGGAAGCTGCCTCACCACTTCCATGAAGAGGACGGAGATGTCAAAGTTGGGGTTCTTCTTCAGGTTCTTGATCACAGTTGACTGGACCATCTGCCCACCACACTCCACCAGAAGACTGGGAGAAGTCACACTGGCCAACTGGTAACTCTTCAGGTTTCGAAGACCCCAGGCCAATATCTGCTCCCAAAAAGTAAGAGAGAAGCCAACCATCTACCAAGAACCGAAACTGACCATTGAAGAACCAACACAATGTCGATGTGGACATCTCAGCTAGAGCTAGATTGTGTTGGGTGTGGGTTGTGGGTGGAGGCACAGGATATTTCTGTTTTCCAGAGAGGAGGAGGAAGTTGTCACTTAACAACTGTTGCAAGACAGATAGTAAAACCAGGAATGATCACATGGTGACCCACTTAAAGAATGCCACAATTTATGACCATAATGCTGGGCTCATTATCGTGGTATCTTGAGGACAACCTACATAGGATTATCACATCGGATGGTGTCATTTTAATCCTAAAGCAAACATTTTATTATATATGTTTTTTGATCCATTAAGGGTCTGATTGGTAAGAGGGGGTGCAAAATGACTAGACAAAATAAATACTTCATTTTCAGAATGGCACCTTCCCGGCTTTTACAAAAATGGGCAATTCTAAGTTAGCTAAAATGTTTAAAAATATGTCTAGCAAATGTTGGAACTGTAACCATAAAACAGGCACACATCACCATATGTGGTGGACCTGTGTTAAAGCAAAAAAGAAAGGTGGGGGCAAAAATACACAAGCAGTTAGAAAAGATGATAGGAAAACATGCAGATTTTAAACCTGAACTTTTTCTATCAGCTATAGCACCAGAAATATATAGCAAAATATATATCTAACATTGCATGAATTAACAGCAGCGAGGATTATATTTCCACAATATTGGAAACATGAAGAACCACCATGAGACCAAGAGATAATTAGGAAGATACTGGATTGTACAGAAATGGACAGACTCACATTGAAGATTAAACAGAAAGAAAGTGTCATGCTCCTGGTGCAGACTGACTCTGAGGGAGAGGAGGAACAGCCGACAGGGAGTGGAAGTGAGGCTCCGGAGGTTGTGGAGGAGGCTGGGGAAGGGCAGAGGCCGGCTGAGCAGTCAGAGGAGGACCCAGGCCCATCCCTTCTCCATCCTAGGGCATGCAGGGAGGAGAGGATAAGGGAGAGACGTGGTCTCCTCGGGAGGAGAGGGCCTTGATCCTCTTCATGGGCTGCAGGTGTGACAACTGAATAAGAGTTTGGACCTGCGTCCTGGCAAATGCTGGAAACAAAGCGTGTAAATATCTCTAGTTTATAGTTCCTCTCTGAGTTTGGCGTCCTTCCCAGTGTGTGTTATTTGTAGACATCCTCCAGCCCTTATCTTGCCCGGTTTGTGTTGCTTTTTTTCCTCCTTCGTGTAACTGTGTGGGAGTTTTTTTCATCTTTCGTCAAGGATATTCGGAGCTTGGAAGCAAACCGAAGGGAATAAAAGGGGCTTCACCTGTTTTCTGTGACTATGTTTGTTTTGTATCCCACCCTGGGTCATCACAGAAAGATACAAGATATTATCAAATATGGAACTTATTCCACCAGGGGTTGGAAAAAAAAGGGGTGGAGATTAAGAATGTAATCTGTACTGCTAAGCAAATAAAATAACCCAGACAAGACGATGGTTAAGCACTAACAAAATGTAAACAATAGAAAATTAATAAACCTTTTTTGTTTTAAAGGGCAGTTCTCTTCCCAAAACCTTGGTCAAGTCACAATGTCTTCTGCACTCACCTCGATGGCCGTACGCTGGAGAACTGGCTTAATTCCTTGAGGGACCATGTAGATGTTGGGTTCCCTCTGAGGTGGAGGGTAAGGCAGGTCTGAATCTGCAGACTGGGAAGAGACATAAATTGGGTCAGTGGGTCTCTTTTAGGTGGTAAGAGAAACAGAAATCCATCCTGCTGATTCTCCCAACCAACCCAGAATTAAGGAGAAATTTCCTGACAGTGATGAGGCTGCCAAGCCCTGTTGTGGCGATAAACGCAGGTAGTCCTTGACTTACAACAGTTCGCTTAGTGATCATTCAAAGTCACAACGGCACTGAAAAAAAGGGACGTATGGCAGCTTTCACACTTACAACCATTGCAGCATCCCACGTGGCAACTGACTCATATTTATGACAGTGGCGGCCAGAAAGGTCGTTAAAAAGGGGCAAAATTCACTTAACAAATGTCTCCGTGGCCATTTTTCACACTTACGACCACGGCAGCCTCTCTGGGGTCAGGGGATCAAAACTGACTCATATTTACGACGGTCGTAGTATTTTGGGGGGGAGGGGATGTCACGCGATCCCCCTTTCGTGACCTTCTGATGAGCAGAATCCATGAGGGAAGCTGGATCCGCTTAACAACGGAGCAGCTGCATGGATCCGCTTAATGACGGTGGCGAGAAAAGTCATGCAACGGGGTAAAAAAAAAAAACCTGAACCGCAGAAATCCAGGGCTCCACATAAGTGGCCGTAAGTTGAGGATGAACTGTATAAAATCCACGGCGGTGGCCTCGTGCCATCGGCGGCCAAATCAGGGTGCCCTCCTCCAGCACCCCAAATTCCTGAACTTTCTTGCCAACTCACCTTGCCAACTCACCTTAGCTGCCTGCAGCACCACCCAGCCGTCCCTCCCCTCGTGGCCCACATGTTCCCGGCGAGCGAAAAATCCCCAGGCTTCCCCATAAACCCAATCTCGTGGGGAGGTGAGGGGGGGCAAGGTGGGGGTGGGTGGGGGGGAGGTTTAGCCTCCAAAGGAAAGGAAAACCCTTAAGGCAGGGGGAGAAGAAGAAGAAAAAAAACAAAAACCAAAGGCAGCTCTTAACCAGGGGCAGTTGGAAGCAATTTCGGCTGCCGTCACTTTTTCCAGCCAAAAAGAATTATTGCATTAAATTAAGGAGGCGTATACATTTCAAACATTGGATCGGGCCGTATTTATTTATAGATTCCCGTCGATGTATATTTAATAAGGGCTACAGGGAGGCGGGCAGGGTGGGAGCCAGCCAATGCGGGGCGGAGGGGGGGGGGAAGAGAGGAGGGGGGAGGCGAGGCTGATTTTCCCTGGCACTTGCCAGGAGCTGCCTAAAACAGAACGTCTCCTTGTTGCAGGATAGCGTTGCCAACTCCGCTTTGGGCAAAATTGGAGGGCCTGCCCCCTCCCGTCCCTCTCCCCGCCCCTGAATGCAGCCCCCCCCCCCACCAGCACCGCTTTGAAGATTGAAGGGAAGTATTGAGTGACAGCCAAAAGGGTCACCCCCACCCCTTAAGATCTCCATCCAAATTTGCTGCATCCCCCCACCCCCACAAAGCCAGACGAAGACCCTTGCCCTCCCGGCCCTTGTCCGCCTCTGCTGCACCCTGGCATGGCCACTGGGCGCTCTGGGAGTTGTAGTCCACCATGCTTAGAGGGCGGTGGGTCAGTCCTTCCTCCCCC